CGTTGAGCTTGAAAACTCTTTCCCCAGAGGCCAGAAAACGAATATAATGGACATTGGACCACCCTGCGAGCAGCTGGTCGGAAACGGCATCCGCCTGGCAGCGTCCTTTAGGCTTTTGCTCCTCGGCAAGGCACGGCGTGTCCGGCGTGTCTTGCAAACGGCGCCCCAGATTGGTTTGGATGCCGTTGGGCACGGGGAACCTGTGGAAGGTGCTAAAAAGACAGAATTGTGTTCTCTCCCACGACCCTGACGTTTGCAGGTGACGAGTGTGTCGGAAGGTGCCCAGGATGAGAACACAACAGTGGCTGAACATGGCTGGATCTCATGTGAACCTCTTCTTCTGAGCAATTAAGGAAGCGAAACCAATCCGCAGAAAAGTTGTATAGGGTAGTTAGGGGCAGTTGGGGTAAGCTGAGCTAAACTTTTCTAGTTGGATTGTAAACATCCACTTGATGAGTGACAGTTCCGAAAAAACTGCCTGGTTGATGCACAACCACTAGCGCCACCAGGCAGTCAGGTAGTCCAAAAAGCTCTGAATTGCGAGATGTCTTCAATCTGTGGTTGATTGAAAAAATCATGAATCATGCGTGACAATCATGATACTCGTCATATAATCATCATGTCATCCAATTTCTTTTTTTCATTCCGCATCCTCGAACTTCATCCTCTCAGGACCTGCTCTTGAAAGCTCTCATTCCCGAACGCGACCATAGGGCGCTCGCCGGGCGACTCCAAGTCGGAGGCCTGCAAGAGGCAAAGCTTCGCATCGGGCAAGGTCTCCCAAGTGCCCTGCCTCCGAGTGACGGCGAGGGAAGACCGGACGCTGCGAGATCCGGCAGTGTCCACGTGTCCTGCTTCAATGACATACTCAGTTACACCCTGGAAGACTAACATGGAACCTGAAACCCCTGGTTGGTAGAGGAAAATCGTCTTCCATGGGACCATGGTCAGGGTCTATGTGAGTTTTTGCGGTGGCCCATGTGGAGCAAACCATGCGCCAAACGAAAATCCGTGCGAATCCGTGCCGCAGCGGCTTGCTGACCCAAGCACCTCTGCTGACCCCTGCAGATCAACACACACACACAACCTAGGACCTTAGGCCCCTTAGGCCTTCCTCAAAACCAGTGAAGCTGTCTCCTCTTCCCAGCTTCATGTGGTTGCATCACAACCCATCACAACCCCTCGCTCGCCCAATTTGGCCCAGCCCGGCCCTGGCCCGAGATGGCAGTCTGACTGAGGAGCTTCCAAACAAGGTTCGCTACGAACGTAACATTTTGGGCATCGCTACGAAGGCATTACTACTAACAATGAAGCTAACGCGAGTATTGAGGCTCATACTGATACTGCCCTAATCTGCCATATCCTGCCCCCACGCTTGGTCAGTGGGGTATTTCAGCCAGGGCCGACTCGGGTTTCCAACCGATGCCCGGTAAAAAGCACGCACACGCACACCAACGCACACACACACACACACATGTGCCAGAGGAGAAAAGTAAGAGTAACGGCATGGTTTGTTTCTCGCTGTGCTTCTGGCGGTGACACTCTCTTTCATCCAATATTCCCAACCCTGTACCCTTTGCTGTCGAGAATTGCTGTTACTGTTGGGTCAAGTAGCTCATTCCTCTTCTCCCACTGCAGGTTGTCCCAGGCACACTGGGCGCTCTTCTGACTTCGGATGTAGCACCTCATGGATCGGGTGCTCTGTTGTTAGGTTTCCAAAGCACACAGGTTGCAGGGCTCCCACAGGTTGCAGGGTGATAGAACATGTTGGTACCATCTTTGAGTTGTGATGCCACCACATCCACCACCCATCCTCGGTAAATCTACGTAGGCGCACCACTCCGGCTGAGGTATTATCCAGTACACTCTGACTCACTAACATGGAAGTGGCAAATGGCCCCTTGGAAGACTACTTTCCTTTACGAACAGGTGGTTTTTCCACTGCCATGTTAAAGAGTTGGAGTGTATCTCTGTGGGTCAGTCAGCCTGTAAGCATCCCGAGACTCCGATTGAACATCCGCATGCTGTCAAGGGTCCTGCTATCTTTCAGGTCTTTTGCAAAGCGCCAGCGTTCTTTCTGCCGGAGTAAGAAGAGCGGCCTCTTTGTGCCATCCCCGCTCACCTGGCCGTGCAAAGCCAGGTTTCCAAAGCAATTTCCAAGGTGGCCAGGGGGCCAGGGTAACTTCAAAAAAGTGTTCATATGTGCATAGCGTAGCTATGTCACTCGTCTTTTTCCAGGCTTTGATGTGGGGATATCGGGTGCATGTGCTGTTCCCTGCAGGAGAACAACACAATCATGCAGTCTCAAAAATCAACTGATGCAAAGTAGACTGTCACTCCCTTGATCTCGCTCGTCCCAACCCCCAGAGTGGGACATCTCTTTAAATTGTTGCAAAAACGACGTGAACAGAAACCGAGCAGGGTCAAGAAGCTGACAAGCTGTGTGAATCTGTTTAACTTGGCCGTGTTATGCCGTCTTAGAGAACCTCAACTCAAGCACAAAACCAACAAAAAGGAATACAGTATATAAACAGAAAAGAAGAAAACCGTCGGACCATCGCCTGTCGGAAGACGACCTCCGGCAGGTCAGTGATGACCTCCGCAAAGGAGCCATTGAACTTGGGCGAGATGCCAGAGACCTGGAGATCGAGACCCGGGGATCTTCGTAGAATGCACCGCTCAATTTAGCAGAGGAGGTCAAGAAGAGAAAACTCCAAGACTGGGGTATTAAGGAGTATTAAGGAATACTCTTGGAGTTGCTCACTCTTAAGACCAGAGGCCAGGAATACAAGACCTCAAATCTGAAAACGAGGGGCTGAAGGTCCACTGGCAGCTCTATAGGGATTTAGTTGGCGCGGATGGTCACAAGGAGTCAGAGCTATAATATACCATCTGCCATCCAGCCAAACACCTAGGAACTACAAGAGGTGCTTCTAGACGACCTGTTCATGTCCCAGCATCCACCTACTTTGTGTTGCACACATGCAGTATGCACCAATATACCACGTAGCCTTTGAAGGCGATCCTGCAAGGCGATTTTACAGTATCTTCTTGTGGCTTCGAGGTGGGCAAGGGGGTTGGAGGTGGTTGGAGGGTCCTGGCAATGTGCGCAGATCTGTGCTTCTTCATGCTTCTCAAACATCTCATTCCGGGGACTCCAGAGTCTGTTGGGTCCAAGGGCTTTCTCCTGAAAGACGGAGGCCCAGTATGATCCCAGTGACCCGAGACAGACTGCGATGGACATAGAATGTGTCGCTCCATTGCTTTCGATGTCCGGTCCAACCACTCGGCCTTCACTGCCCGTTGATCCTTCAGAAAGCTTGCGGGCCGCCATGGCTCCATTAAGGGTGAAATCCTCTTCAGGTCAACTACGACTGACTGCTGACACAGGCTTTGGACACATCAGGGCACAACTGCAGATCCCTAATCCGTGTGTTTCAGTGAACCTAATATGTTTTGAACATGTTTGAACACTTGAAGTCTCCTTTGGAGTCAACAACGTGTGCGTTCTATTGCTTCTCTGTTCCCTACTTGCGCGGGTGCTGTTCGCTGAGTCATGCGTTCCTCCAGTTGCTTCTTAACACGCAGGGCGCATGTGCCTCCCGGGTCCATCGCACTCCCATCACCGCGGGTCAAGGGTCCGGTCGCGGGTCAAGGGTCCGGTCTGTCTCCCCAGCTCGAGGCTGGTGCTTGTTCAGCTCACGAAACACTTCCATTGGTGGCCATTTCTGCTTGTTTTTGGTGGCTGCCAGCTCAGTTTGCACAGCCGCACGGTCGCTGGCCAGGGTGGAAACCAGCACGACTTCTGGCACGCAGGAGCCACACCAAACTGCAACGAAACAAGAAAGACCGCGAAGAACAATGTTCAGAAATCGGTTGTGGTCCAGTCCAGTCTGGCTGTTACCCCGTCAGTGATTTTGTGCCCCTATCTAACTACACCAGTTCCGCTTCAGTGAAGCCACCTGGTGAAGCCACCATGGAACATGGGGCCGGCGGTATCCATCAGAATGACTGTCAAAGGGAGCCAAACGATAATGACGTCGGCCTTTGATGGCCAAAAGGCTGTACAGAGCTACCCAAAGAACCGATGGAAAGACAAGATTGGAGAAGTGCTTAGATTCCTGATACAGTAACGCATCTCAATGCTGTACAATGATCATTCATCGAAGGCGGGCTCAGCAGGCAACTAAGCCAGCTCCAGTAGGAAACCAAACCAGGCAATTAGCCAACATGACCTCAGGAGGAAACACACAAAACCTATCATACCGAATCATACCCCCTATAATTACATATGACACACTCGAGACTAAAACAAGTCCACGGAACCTGCTTTTGTACAACGATGCTACGGACCTGTTTCTCTCACGCTCAGTTGCCCAAAGCACTAGAAAGCTTCCTGAACTTCAAAGCCGGGCAACCTTGCTGAAACATGCTGAAACCAGCGCGCTGCCAATTAGGCCTTCCGCGCAGTACCTGGCACATGCTCAAAGAAATGGCATTCACATGGAGACGAGGCTTTCTTGTCCCTCTCATAGCTAGCTGCCAGATATATCGAGCCATCCAAATCCGTTAGTGAGCAAGCACACTTCTGGGATCTGCATTATGCTCTATTCACTATTCGCAGGTGTTGCAAAGGAAGTGCCCCCGCTTTCCTGCACCCTCGGCCCTCGGCTCAACGTTTCGCAAGAATTTGGCTTCACGGGGACTCAGGTGTTTCAGTAAGACTCATGGCCCCAATAGCTTCAGCATGTCCAAATTCCAATAAGACGCTGGCTTCAATGACCACGGGGCCACTTTCCTTGTTCTGCAATGTTCTCGAGTTGATCATTTCTGCAAGAAGCTCCCTGCCAGGCTGTAAAAGGGCTCAAATATAGCCCAAATACAAGATTGTCCGGGGAGGCCAGGTGACCCTCTTAGAGTTCAGAACTCCAAGAGCGACCTTCCATGAAGAAAAAGCCGTGTCCGAGGCCGAGGCTCGAGACCCATATCGTTGGGTGAAGTCACAATTGAAATGCTTTAAAACAACATGCAGCACGCAAAACCTCTTCAGAAGATGGGAACCAGTTCTCCATCTTGGTCCGTCTATGGGGACGCGACGTCCGTGCGCGTTCAAAAAGAACCGGGCCCCGAAGCAAACTTCCGTCCCCGGGGCCCGCCAAAGCGATGCCTTTCGGGGCGCCTGGCGGATGGAAAGAACTTCCAGGCTGATTTGAAGAAGCGAGTGCCCACGGGTGCCAAGTGTCAGAGGATTTGTGCGTGCATGTGTCTGGATGAAACCATAGTGGCCTTATAATGCTTTATAGAGTATTTAAGCCATGGCCACTTGCTCCTCTCCTTCACTAATCATTACTATTGTTCATAGTTTGCAGCTGCCTCACAGACCTGCGAACCGACTGCTGACCGTGGCTCAGGCCATTTGGCAAGCGGGCAAACTTCTTTGGTGCTGCGTCACAAACTCAACCAGCACAACCAAACTTTCCACTTGCATGGTTCTTCCTACCTGACCAGAAATCTGGGAACGCTCCTTGAATTGAATCCCGTGAAGGCAACCCCCCGTTCAACTCCAGACTCACCCTCCATCGAGCATCGCCCACCTTGAGAGTTCAAAGCCTCCTGAGGCACCAAAGTGGCATGCTCGCTGCATGGGATGAAGTCCACCTCCGGCTGTGCCACTGGCTGCGCGACTGGCTGCACTGATGGTTGCAGCATCTGTGCTGATTCCAGTGGCTGTAGCAGCTGTGCTGATTCCAGTGGCTGTGGCTGTTGTGGCTGCGCCTGTGGCATGGTAGGCTGCAGGTGTTGTGCTGGCTCCACTGGGTGCATGGGCTTGACTGGCTGCGGCTCCAACGGCTTGACAGGCTGCCCGGGCTGCGAGGGCTTAAGGGGGTCTACATAAAGAGAACCGCTGCAGGGGTGAGCCTTCTGGCTTTGCATGAGGCAGCCACTGGTCTGGCTCATGGGTGGCGGGCCTAGCATCTGGTGATCCTGCTGAATGGTGCGGCCAGTGTTGGGGTCGATGTTGGACACATCCACGTCGTCGACCCCGTGTTGCCTCCAACGCTTGGTCATGGGATCAAAGTAGAAGGTATTGTCAGGCACCTCCAGCTTGGGCTGCTCGGGCATCCGGAGGGGCCGCAGCACCACACCAAGAAGACCAGCACCTGGTGATTTCAGTTTGAGCTTAGGTGGATCAACAGGACAAAAAAGAAGTTTGGTACGCATCAGGATGTATATTATGTAGAATCTTGATTAACACTCCTATTTGGAATACCTCTGCCAATGAATTTCAATTCAAGAGTCGACATTCCATCAATTGATAGATAAATAAAGAGATTTAAGTTATAAATTATGAATAATAATATAGATTGGATCAGATCAAAATAGATCAAATCAAATTAGGTTAGATCAGATTGGATAATTAGATTATAGATTGATGGATAGTAAGAGAATGTAAGAAACATGAATCATCTATCCCAATCCTTCTTGCCAAGCGTCCCCAGGACTTCACCCCTTGAACCAAGGACTTCACCACTGACTGTCTCACGCTGGCCCCGAGCTCCGGCACCGCCGGTGCTGGCTCCGGCCACGGCTCCGGCAGCGCCGTGCGAGCGGCGGGTGGCGCGGCCGGCGCGCTGGAGGGGATGAAGACGATGCCAGAGCGATTCACCTGTTGAAGCTAAGCAATTTTTGAGGGAAAAGGCTTGTTGGGGCTGGTTCGCGGCTACGTACGTGTCCTTGTTCCCCATCTATCCGAATTTGGGAGTGTACAGCGCTGCCCCTAGCGGCGCCATGCGGAACCAAAAAGCTCGACACATCGATGAACTGCTCGATGGCCCTCGATCAGCGACTGCTACTCAGCATCACCGAACATCGCCTCTGCAATCTGATCTGGTGGAACTCGTCTTTCAGCCCATTCCTGGCCGGAAATGAGCTTTCGGCCAGGTCCCGGCGGTGGAAATGTCTCGTAGATGCTAGGTGAACCACTACTAACTCCATTCAACTCCTCCACAGTGCCAGAACGATTCACAAAGAATGCCCTACCAAGCAACGTTAATCCAGCTTCTGAATGCAAAACTGCAAAACACTCCTTCTAGGGCCCCCAGCCCTATACATCAAAGACTTGCTGACAATTCTCTGGCGCTGCAGGCTTTTTCCACACTTGAAGGTTTCGTATGGCTGGGTTCATGGCTTTCCGTTCAGGCCCGCTTGCAGTCTCCGGGGCATGCAAACTCTTTGTTTCTTTGTCGGCCTCTCGTTGTGCTGAATTCATTCCAGTCAATTGTGGATGAGTGGGCGATGAGAAGTAGGGTCATCACCGAGTCATCCGTAAAAACACACAATTCATCCCCGTTAAAATTAGGGGGGAGGGGTCAGACCCCACTTTCTGTAGTATAAACCTGTCGGGTGCAGCAAGACTTCTTACAAAAGACAGAGGTGCATCCAACTGTCAGGCATACAAAATGAAAGGGCCAACAAGCATTATTTTTGGCCATTGCCCCCCATCAATCTATAGAAAATGTGGGGTCAAGCACTGAGATTGCTGCGCCCTTCATTTTGTAAGAGCTGAATGCTTTCTACTGTTGGTACATCAGACTCGAACCAGTTTGGGAGGCCCCCCAAAAGCGACTCATTTTACAAGGAATCACAATTCATTTTGTAAGGAGACAGCTGCAGTCCTTTTTCCCTAGCAGCATAAGCCACGCCAATGGTTTTTGTAAGGATTAGCCTCCCAGTTTGCCAATTCAACCTACAAAATTACTGTTTTTTTCTATTCCATGTTGTCGAGCTGTCCTTGCACTCCAATCGCTGATAATTGTTTCCAGCAGTTTCCCCATCTAGAACTGTATTGGTCCTGATTTCTACAGGACATTGGGTAAATTGGGCAACTCATGGCTCACAGGATTGTTTTTGAACTCGGGTCACAGGGTTGCTTATTTCTTACAAAATGGTGGTTTCTTACAAAATGCAATGTTTCATCTGTGTTTGATTTTCCTTATAGAATGCATTGGTGCATCCACCACATAGTTTATGCATCCAACCATGAGGCAGAAGGACAGACATCATAGACTCTTACAAAATGAGTTTGCTCCTAAAACACATGTCTTATAAAATGACAGGATTTAATCTTACAGCTACAGCCACCCCTCAAATACTTACAAAATGGATACTTATAAGTTCTTACAAAATGGGTACCCCTATTTCCCATGATTTTCTTACAAAATGATAGGGGTACGACCCCTTGATTTCTTACAAAATGACCCTCTATAAACGGTTTATATGGGGCTTGACCCCTCCCTTTTCACAGGGAAAATTTCAGTGGGGATCACAATTCCATGACACTCCATGTCTAAACCTAGAATTTTCATTAGATACCATTAGGCTGGTTTTAATCGTCCACGTTTTCGGCCGTTTTTCGATGTACATGGAGTCCCTGGGATCCGTTGGCGGATGTCCGATTGTTGAGTACGGTAGTCCGTGCGAATCAAACACCCATGTCCTTGCGAATCAACGATAATCCAATAAAGGAACCATGGTGGTATATGAGGGTCCATGATCATCAACGTATCATGTTTTATTTTGGATTCGCCCGTGTTCCACCGCCCGCGTAGGATAATGATCTTCAAAAGCAATCCTTCAGTCTCCGTCTCTCTCCCCTGCGCAGGCCTGAATGCTAACGCCTTGTGGTAGGACGTCTCTGGCCTTTTGATGGGATGGATGTCAACATATGTCAACAAGACTTAGTGAGATGGATGGCTTGCCCTCCCAAGTGCTGCACACAGCCACATGCACAAGAAGAACATCAAATCACCGAATGTGGATGCGATCTAATACCAAGATATATATATATATACTGTAATACGTTTAATTTTGGCCATTTCCGGGAGCTTTGTGGGCTTGGATTACAGGGGTATACTAATTCTGACTTGACCTTAAGCCGCAATGAATTCAAAAGACTTGTTCTACAACCCAGGGTGGTGCTGGCCAAGTACAACCCCACAAAAGAATCCTGATAAGGCAGCCGCAATCGCGAGAACCTGGGTGTCACATCCCCCCGAGCCTCCAGGACTCACCAACTCACCCTGAGCGCACAGCTCTCACCCTTGCCTTCTGCCCCAAAGCCAGCAGCGCCCCCAGCAGCTCCAGCTCGCTGCTGCTCAAGGGCCCCGAGCCCAGTGACGACCAGAAGCCTTCGGTGGCTGAACCGCCGCTTGCCATGGGCGCAGCGAGCGAAAAGAAAAGCGTCGGTGGCTGCTTTGGGCTTTCCGGATAATGGCTTGGGCGATAGTAGGCAGGTTGACAAGTTCACCGGGCCAGGCTTGATGACAAATATGTACTTATTGATGCGGCAAATATACTATAATATGCTACTCTGCCAATGTCAGTTTCGAACAAAGTTGGGTTATATAACTCTGTTGTTGCATGGGCCATGCAAAACTGGTTCAAGGTGCATAGCCGCTGAGGGAGTTCAACCAATCTATGTCAGCATTTCGAGCCATCACAGCTGCAAATACTCACAAATTCCGGAGAATCCACCTTCTGGCAACGGTGACGAAAGCGTGGACGAAGACACGGTGTCTTGGAAGGTTGATGAAGCTTGACCCATGAAGTTCATGAATGTTCCGAGAAAGTACTTGACCATCTACACTTACAGTAATGATACCACGGCAGCTTGGGGTCAGCGCTGATGGTTGCATCCCGGTGGTTGCCATCCATCCATGCATCCATCCATCCATCCATCCGTCCGTCCGTCCATCCGTCTCCGTCGACGGCGAGAGGCCTCTCCATCTCATCCTGGAAGCGAAAGCCGTCGCCGTCCACCGCGTCCACCTGGCGGCCAGCGTCAGCGTCCACGCCACGACAGAGATGGATGACATTCCTCCGAGAAAAAAAGAACTCACTACTAGGAACAAGAGGACGCGCCGCTATTAGTTAGTAACAAAGGGCATCGCTACGAACGGAGCAAGGACGCTACTAGTAGCTCCTGCCTGCATTACTAGCAAGAAGCTACGAGTAACAAGGGCATCGCTACTAGTAACAAAGGGCAAGGCAATGGTGGAAATCAACAGCTGGATATTCTTCCTTGAGGTTAGCCAGCAGGCTGGAAGACAATCGGAACAAATCGGAACGTGAAAAATGAGTCTGCAAATGTTGGCTCCTCCACTCCGGATGTCTGTCAGACTTACTGAGGTAGACAAGAGTTGACCCCATCGAACACAAAGTCAATCTAGGATGACAGCAAAAGGCTGCGGTTGCCAAATGCTATGGCTGACCTGGGACCTATAGGCGTGTCGCTGCAATGACCCCGAGCTAGGTGTCTCACGATCTTGGCGCTGATGCCTTCGCGGTACAGCTCCTGTCTTTCAGCACCAGGAAGCACGCTGCACAGACTTCCATCGTGACAGGTGGGCCGGCACAAAACAAACACTGTGGTTGGGTGGCCCCCACATTGCAAACGATGAACGGTTTGCATAGCAACACCTCGGCACTCATGTGCACAGCAAAGGGGGATACAATGCTTCCCTCTGACAAAATGAAAGGTTCCAACTTGGAGTAGGGGTTAGCATAAGCACCACTGGAAAAGGGCCCTTGTTGCTGTGAACTGAAGTTGGCAACCAAGGTCAAAGGAGTGCTTACAAGTACACTTGAATGTCACAAGGTCACGTATAAATATATTAAACACCAAACATATCCCAAAAACTTCACCCCATGTATGGCATACATATTCCCGTACATGGAGTGTCTGGGGTATATATTTAACACGAACAACACGACTCAATTGAACTATAATTATAATGAACTATATATATAGAACTCCAAAAAAAGGAGGACGGCCATAGCCAAATACCGTTAACTGACAGGCCACAAAACACGGGGAATACTCACAATGGTTGACACAAAAGGTACGATGTCACCGCTGACATCTACTACAGTGGCTTCAAACAAAATCGCACACCTGTCAGTCCACATCAATCCACAGTCCACATCGTATGGTCTCAATGGAGAACTCCGCATCAATCAAACGAAATCACTGTGCTTTTTCGGTTTCTCTGTATCGAATAAAGCCAATCAAATAGATCTGACTGATAACACCCCCCTACCTGGATGGTTCAACATCTCCACATGAAGGGTTTTGTTAACCAACTGTCAACTACTGCTCACCAGAAAAGAAGGCAATGGCCCAAGCTTCTAATCTACAAGATCTCTTTGCTTGGCTGCGCCACTTGGAAGGTGAACAGTGCATGAAAATCGCTTCAATCCACCTGGTCCCCTGTAAAGTTGCCCAAACGCCCCCGGCGCCACGCCACCGCCACGCCAGGCAGCCCCACATGCAAAGCATGTCGTAACCTCGAAGGTCGCCGCATCTGGCTGATCACAAAGACCTACAGAACTGGAGGAGTGGTCAAAGAATGTCAGAGACCAACATCCGTTTCAACATGTTTTAACCGTGTCATGTGCAAGCATCATAGAACATGACCACCAAAATAAAAGAACATGGTACCGTTCGAAGGTCCATCTTCTACCCACATTTGGCCAAAGGTATCGTGTGCCGCCCGTCAAACCGGCACCAGGAGCGCACAGTCGCACTGGGCTCCCGAACATTCTGTCCTGGATCACCCAATGCTTCAGGAGAGTCGGCGGAGGAACCTCGCAGGCTCATAGGCTCATGGGGTTCATGGTGAGCCCGAATAAATAATTATACAAAATCGACCAGATGCGAATCCTTTTACAGTACTATACGCAGGTGCTTGCATTAAATTCATCTCACCAATCCTGGCTATTCCTGAAGCGTCACTCGCTTTTTTGAACCGCATTCATCCATGCCGAGGCCGTCGCAGAAACGCCGCCGTTCTGGGCCAAAGCTCACCTCCTGGGGCACCCGGTGACCCGCCAACGACCACGGCCACGGCGATACGGTGCGGCCGAAACGGTCTGTGTGTGGTGTGGGTCGAAGCCTGGAAGTTCGTAGGGTGAACCTCCAGGATGATCCAGGAAGGGAGTAACGGTAGGTTCTATATATATATATATATATCCATGCCATGAAGTGCGTATTGGATCGTATTGGAACTTGTCAAGGGCTTCCCCAAAAAAATCAACAAATGACTTGCTAGAACCTGATGGATCTGTTGGTTGAAGATGGTTGAAGTGCATTTATACTTGGATGTTTGGACTGGCAACTGCTGAAACCACAGCACTCATGTAACTGATGCCTTGGAAGTTGTCTTTCTATGTGCAGTGAGCCTCCATCCTGTCCATATCGGGGCGTTCCCGAGCGTTCGAAGCGTCCAGCTCGTCAAGTAAGGTCCCATTATTGTTCAACTGTTCTGTCCAGTGGCTTCTTTGGGGACGTGTCCTGGCAGCCTCCCTCTTTTTCCTTCTCATCCTGTCTCTGTCAAATCCCAAATGCAACAAAACCGTCCAAACGGAGGGACGTGGAGAGAACATGAGAGAACAACACCTGTGTAGTGTAGCAGTTCCAAAAACAGCATGTGAGCCGGCAAGTCGAGTTCCGCAAGCACGAAAAACGCGCCAATTCAGTGCTCAGATTGCTTTCTTCGAAACGTTCTTAGGAACTTGCTTCGCTTGGCCTCCGTGCATGGAGATCCTGTGCGTCCAGCTCCGGCCAGCGGAAGAGGCGCGCCCGTGCCGCACTGGCCTTGCCACGGGGCGCCGGAACTCGAACATGGGGTGGAGCGCCCGTGCGATCCGGCATTCTCCAAATGAACATGGGGTGAACATGGGCTGAGACCTATTCTGCTTGATGATTGGAAGTTTCAACATTTCAACTTAGGCGCAACCATCAAATCGAATGTCAAAGATGGTCCGGTTTTCCCAGTTGATGCTTTTGGTGGAACGTTCCAAAACAACGGGCGCCTATGTTTGATGGTCCACGATGATATCAAGATGATGGCCGTCTCAGCGATGACGATCAGCTGCCCCCACCAATGTGAAGATCAGTTAATGGTGAACAAGAAAAAGGGTCTTTATGAGTTTAAAAGTCTGTCAAAGGGAGTAGTGGGTGGTCCCCAAAGAGTATTCATGGCACGGTTTCCAATACAATTTCTACGTGGGGGTTTACGCACTTCTATCTATTTGGGGGGTAAAACATGTATGCTTCCAAAGTTGTAGAGATTCCCCCCGCTAATTCAATCTGAGGCCGTTTTTTCAGGCCGCAACCCAAATTTAACTCGTGCTTTGGATGAAGCACTTGGAGGGTTTTGACCACCAATCAGCAAAGGCTGAAGTGTAATAGGTCAGACTTTCCCCGTGAGCCATGTTCCACTTTCTGCCCACTGGCTTCCGGTGGTTCAGTCCAACTGCCAGTCATCAAGGCTCACATGCCTGGACTGAGTAGGCTTTCTATCAGACTGACCCTGCAGATTTAGTAGCTTTTGTCAACCCAAATCAATGGTGGAGAACGAAAACAAAGCTGAACTTCTCTATCTTCTCTCACATGCTCGTACCGCTTCGCATTTTGTTGTTGTGTATCTACCATCATCTACTCATCTACCCCTCCAAGAGAGCAACTTCCATACGTACCAGTGGTTGACTGGTGCATTCGTTCATGGGTTGTCTGCCTGCAGGAAGTGGGTTTGCTCAGACCAGTCACTGCAGAAAGTATATATAACAACAATCTAAGGCCCTGGACAATGGCTGCTTGCTCTTCGGCAGAGAGGTGGCCATCATTCTCATAGCCCTTCCAAAAGAAACATGCTGTGGTGGGTTGGTGCACCACGAGCTTTGGATCGAAAGCTTCCTCATTGGATGTCAAATTAATAAAGTCAGTGAGAATGTAATGGATCTCACGGGTATGTCCCCCAGCCAACACGGCTATTTAAAATTGGATTGCAGCCAACACGGCTTTCCGTGAGACAGAAGGGAACCGGATCACTGAAGCAGCACAATCTACAGTAATGTCGTAACAATGGCCTTATATAGATAAGAATATGTCTGTCAAACATCAACCAAACCATACCAAACCGCTCATGGGTTGCATTTCTATAGCAAATGAACATGGGGCGAACGAGGCCTTGTCTTGTGCCCAGTCGATGTTCATGGCCTTGTGAAACGGAAGGCCGAAGAATTCCATGGACTGGACATGACCGAACCATCTGCAAACGAGTGATTTTTCTCTCACACAGGACCACTACTGTATAGGTCTTTTTGTGCTAATCCCGTGCTGAAAGGTCTGACAGGTCTTCATGAGTTTCATGATG